TTAACATCTAGCTCCGGAGCGCTTCGTGAATCGTGGGCTTTTCGCCCCTATTTTCCTCGTACAGAGCGCAAAAATTCAGTGAGCGCATTCTTTCCGTCCTTTCGCGCGACTGAACTGCCGTTATCCTTCGCACCGCTTTTCCTAACGGGTGCTTCGTATTTCATATGTAGGCGTTAGGATGCATTTCTAGCTAGGTGCTTCCATCTTTTAGTGGTAATAAGTAATGGCCGTTTTTTTTCAATTGAAAATTTGTTCCAAAAGTGAAACGTTTTGCAAGCAAGCTTAATATCGTTTAATAGCAAACTTCTCGTAGTATTAGAATATCAAATTCAAATTCAATTAATTCAACTATTAGCATGAAATTTCAGGTGGAACAGACGTGAGCCTGCCCAATATTGGCAAGGTGAAGGTTGCCAACTTTGAAATTCTTGAAATTAGTTCCAAAGCGTCCTATTGAGATTCCCTTGCTCAGACTTCTACGCGTCGTTTCGAATGTATGGAGGCAGCTTAAATGATTTCCAGCACTTAGGGAGTAGACGTAAATAGAGGCAGTTTCAAAAAGATCTAATTTCGACCGACGTTCACTTGCCCAACTTCAAAACGACTAAAATTCATTCACAAAAACTATATCCTCAACCAAAGCTTTTTTGATATTCTTATACTACGAGAAGTTTCCTATCAGATGATATATAACTTGCTTGCAAAACGTTTCACTTTTTCACGTGCTGATTTTAAAGGATCAGAAATCGATGGGAAACAAAGCACATTGTGTTACAGGCAAATATGACGTTTGATCGTTATTGATCCAGCACTCTCCCGTTATTTTCGGGCTGACCCGGCTGCCGCATGTCATCTTACATATCCTGCGATGGCTTGAACTATCGCTGATCAATGTATGAATAGAGCATAGGTAATCTGTCGGTTGTTCATGCTTCATATTCCTTATTCATTCGAAGAAGATTCATTGAGGAGACTTTATTTGGAAACCAGTCTAATGTTTCTCATCGACTGCGTGCTTACTGGAGACAAATCATTCTTAGATGGTCTTGTAGACACAGACGACTTTTACTAGGTTCCCTTCGAAGAAGCTGTTGCATCCATACCTTGGTGTGTGCAGGAAGGTTGCGTACCTACACGAAAACGATAACACAGAATCTGACCAATATGGAAACTCCGTGATTCGCGAAACTTCATTTCTATTTAGGCATCCCGCTCACCTCAGAAATGCTTCGTAAATCATGGAGCCTTTGCCGCACAATTTATAAGAAATACAAAATCTCAGTGTTATGAAAGATTTTTTGACTCACATTCTCGGTTTGTATTTTGTCCTTCAAACCGTCCTTTAGGGTTTCCAGTTATCATGTCTGGGACTGATCCATCCCTCGTGAACGTTCTTAACGAGCTGGCTTTACTTCTGTGGAATATTCTTTGTATGAGCAGATACCTACTTTTCTGCCTTGAATTTATGAGGTGCATTAGAGGGTACAACACCTCTTGCTTCGTTACAAGCGTCACTGGAAAGTCCTGCGTCCCATTCCTGGAAAGCAAAACTGTCTTTGAGGAATTGTCTCGAGCTCCATTTCTGTGGGCGTTTAGATACCCTTTACACTTACCTGCAACATGAGTGCATGTCATATGTGACTTAGACAGATTCGCGCAGAAATGTGTCATCCTCACTGCTCGAAAATGAGTGGAAAGAAGCAGGGGGCTGTGATTGCTGATTGCCGTATAGGACTCTGCCAACTGCTCGCTAAGTGCGCACTTGTGTTGGTGCCGAGGAATCCAAGCGCGTAACATGAACTGCGAGCTGCCTGTGTGTGGACTTACCAATATGAGAGAAAGCCAACAAGAAGCGTGTTAGGCTATTTCTAGGCGTATGCCTGCCCCCGCCGTACCGCAGGTTGCGCACCCGTAGATGTAGCCCGAGAGGCATCTAGCTATCAGTAATTCCATGCTCATTTCAGCGCACTTTCAGTTCACTCCGCGCATAATCGTGAAAAAAGCTTGCATTCCATCAGATACCTCAATGAGTTCAGAGATTAAGAACTTCAGAGATGTAGGATTTTTACGGTGTGCAACATAGAATACGGGGCGATCCCAGAAAATGAATTGTGTGGTCTTACAGGCGACAGTCGATATGAATAACCTAAGAAAAACATTTTCAGAACACCAACCAGTTTAGGAGTTGAGGCCCAGATTGAACCCCGAGTACCACTCCTCCATTGCTGTGTAGGTAGGGCATCTATCTGAAAACACATTATCCTGCACCACTCGTGGAGTGATAACTATTTTGTCTGCCGTGATAGGCCCAGAAGAAGTTTTAACTACCACAGAGAAGGAACGACTGTACTTACTGTGAGCCCCTACGTTGACCAAGAGGAAGCACAGTGGTATGAGGGCGAACAACATTTCGATGGAGACATATTCTTGCCCGTCCATTTTATAGGGCATTCCAGTGATGGTTTTACTATCAATCTCCATTGCGATCATCTGGAAATTTTTATCAAGTCCCTTCTGTCAATACCTCCTTATTCACGTGCTGATTTTAAAGGATCACAAATCGATGGGAACAAAGCACATTGTGTTACAGGCAAATATGACGTTTGATCGTTATTGATCCAGCACTCTCCCGCTATTTTCGGGCTGACCCGGCTGCCGCATGTCATCTTACATATCCTGCGATGGCTTGAACGATCGCTGTGGTTGCACACCTTGGTTGTTGAAAGAACGGCGGGAGCTGAAGTCTTGAAGAGTTTTAAATCAAACAGAACGCGAAAAATTTTATAGGGAAGCGTAATTCATGAGAATGAATCGTTTCTTCTTCTCAAGTCGCCACACAGAAGTTCATGCATGACAGCAGCCACGAATGTTACTGCGTTAACTTTTGGTAAGATATCCCGCGCTGCTCTCGTGCCTTCAGCTGGATCGGAGCCGTCTGTGTGACCGCTCTGACGTCCTCGTTTCTGACTCTGTCGAGTCGTGTCCAGCCGCAGGCCCATCTCAGCATCCTCATTTCAGCTGAGGGAGCATTGACGCTTACAGAGATGTGAACTTCCTGCATTTCATCCGGAGTGCATTGATTCTAGCTTTTAGCGCCTGGTCAACTCCACCATCAACTGCTAGATCACTTCAGAGGTACTAGAAGTCTTCGACCCATTCGACGCTTTTACCGTGATCTTTTACTGGCTCGCTGACTCTTCAGAGTTCAGAAGCTTGGTTTTCTTTACATTCAGCAGTAGTCTATTCTCAGCAAGCAAATCCTGCCAACGCTACACTTTGCTCCAGAGTTCTTCTCCTCTCTCCTCTATCAGAGCAATGTCAGTGGTGCAGAGAATGGTCTTGAGTGATCCCTAACGAGCTGCTTTGCCATGACATCCAGGGTTAGTACAGAGAGGAACGGGCTGAATGCTGATCATTGCCGTGACCCTACCGTGATGCTTACTTCCTTTTTCGAGGCATGAGGGTTGCGTACAGCCGCCTTAGAGCCGTACGTGTCCAACCTGTAGTTGTGCATGGTCAATCCAGTATAATAAGCATGAACCACTTCGCATTGCTTTATTGTTGATTGGCGTTTTTCGAGTCGTTCGAGGTGTGGATGTTAACCATGCTGCTGAGCTTTCAGGAGCGTGAACACAAATAACAAAGGGGCGAGTGGTTAAGAGTAGTCCATGCCTGCACTCTGAGCTGTCGCGGTGGCAGGATTTGCTTGCTGAGAATGGACTTCTACTGAATGTAAAGAAAACCAAGCTTCTGAGCTCTGAAGAGTCAGCGAGCCAGTAAAAGATCACGGTAAAAGCGTAGAATGGGTCGAAGACTTCTAGTACCTCTGAAGTGATCTAGCAGTTGATGGTGGAGTTGACCAGGCGCTAAAAGCTAGAATCAATGCACTCCGGATGAAATGCAGGAAGTTCACATCTCTGTAAGCGTCAATGCTCGAGAACGCGTTGTGCTTGATTTGGAAGGCTCTTCAAGACTTCAGCTCCGCGCGTTCTTTCAAACAACCAAGTGTGCAACCACAGCGATAGTTCAAGCCATCGCAGGATATGTAAGATGACATGCGGCAGCCGGGTCAGCCCGAAAATAGCGGGAGAGTGCTGGATCAATAACGATCAAACGTCATATTTGCCTGTAACACAATGTGCTTTGTTCCCATCGATTTGTGATCCTTTAAAATCAGCACGTGAATAAGGAGGTATTGACAGAAGGGACTTGATAAAAATTTCCAGATGATCGCAATGGAGATTGATAGTAAAACCATCACTGGAATGCCCTATAAAATGGACGGGCAAGAATATGTCTCCATCGAAATGTTGTTCGCCCTCATACCACTGTGCTTCCTCTTGGTCAACGTAGGGGCTCACAGTAAGTACAGTCGTTCCTTCTCTGTGGTAGTTAAAACTTCTTCTGGGCCTATCACGGCAGACAAAATAGTTATCACTCCACGAGTGGTGCAGGATAATGTGTTTTCAGATAGATGCCCTACCTACACAGCAATGGAGGAATGGTACTCGGGGTTCAACCTGGGCCTCAACTCTAAACTGGTTGGCGTTCTGAAAATGTTTTTTCTTTGATTATTCATATCGACTGTCGCCTGTAAGACCACACAATTCATTTTCTGGGATCGCCCCGTATTCTGTGTTGCACACCGTAAAAATCCTACATCTCTGAAGTTCTTAATCTCTGAACTCATTGAGGTATCTGATGGAATGCAAGCTTTTTTCACGATTATGCGCGGAGTGAACTGAAAGCGTGCGCTGAAATGAGCATGGAATTACTGATAGCTAGATGCCTCTCGGGCTACATCTACGGGTGCGCAACCTGCGGTACGGCGGGGGCAGGCATACGCCTAGAAATAGCCTAACACGCTTCTTGTTGGCTTTCTCTCATATTGGTAAGTCCACACACAGGCAGCTCGCAGTTCACGTTACGCGCTTGGATTCCTCGGCACCAACACAAGTGCGCACTTAGCGAGCAGTTAGCAGAGTCCTATACGGCAATCAGCAATCACAGCCCCCTGCTTCTTTCCACTCATTTTCGAGCAGTGAGGATGACACGTTTCTGCGCGAATCTGTCTAAGTCTCATATGACATGCACCCATGTTGCAGGTTAGTGTAAAGGGTATCTAAACGCCCACAGAAACAGAGCTCGAGACAATTCCTCAAAGACAGTTTTGCTTTCCAGGAATGGGACGCAGGACTTTCCAGTGACGCTTGTAACGAAGCAAGAGGTGTTGTACCCTCCAATGCACCTCATAAATTCAAGGCAGAAAAGTAGGTGGCTGCTCATACAAACAATATTCCGCGAAATAAAGCAGCTCGTTAAGATCGTTCACGAGGGATGGATCAGTCCCAGACATGATACTGGAAACCCTACAGGACGGTTTGAGCGACAAAACACAAACCGAGAATGTGAGTCAAAAAATCTTTCATAACACTGAGATTTTGTATTTCTTATAAATTGTGCGGCAAAGGCTCCATGATTTACGAAGCATTTCTGAGGTGAGCGGGATGCCTAAATAGAATGAAGTTCGCGAATCACGGAGTTTCCATATTGGTCAGATTCTGTCTTATCTTTTTTCGTGTAGGTTCGCCGTGAGCAGCGACGACGACGACTGCAACTCCCTTATCAGCCCCTATCAGTAGTTATCGCTTCCAGTCACCCACGGTTGATGTCCCCATCTCACCCTCTATATCACTTGCTGAAACGTACGCCTCGCTGATGCTGTGACCTGCGCTGTGAATACGATGACCTCACCTTTCTAACGCCCCTTATCGAATCTTATCAGCAGCTTACAGTTCTTGTCACCTACATGATGTTCTTGGCCCATACCCTATATCATATCTCAGAATCAAGAGCTAGCTGATGCTATCACCCGCGTTATGAATATGGTGACCTCCCCTTCTAACGCCTCTTATCGGATCTTATCAACTGATATCACTTCCTGTCACCCAATGTGTTCCCGTCACACCCCCTACATCACTTCTTGAAACCAATGTCTCACTGCTACTGGGACCGGCGCTATGAATTTCGTGACAGACACAGGACAGACAGACATACTTAGCGGATTATACAGGGGGGGGGGCAAAAAAAGACTTTTCTTCTTGACTTTCGAGGCGCTATAAGTTACACTTTATAAATTGATCGGACATTTCTACCACCATATTAAAGAGCATATTAAATACTATCATGATACTCCGCCACAGCCTTCTGGAGGAGCGCCATCGAGAGATTCTGCCACGCGACCGTGAGTGGGTGCCTTTCAGCGAGATCGTTGATTTCTCCGCCACTGTAGACCACCCTATTGAACTCAGGTGACCTGCTTGATATTCCACCTTCTTCAGGTACTCAACGCCCTTCCATTCCAAGTAGGCGAGAGTTTTTCCAACGCCCTTCGATTCCATGTGGTGGCACCCAATCCTGTAGCAGTACAAAGTTTCCAAGAAGGTACGGGCGACGACATGTGGGGAGGATATTCTTCTCGAGTTGCTCGATGTAACCGCCAGCGCTCACCTTCAGTCCGGGTCTACAAAGAAAATATCGGTCTTCCCATTCTAGGTACTCCGGTCCATACCATCAACTCGCGCCTCGGCGACTACGGTGAAGATGATGTCCTAGACTGTAGCGACGTTGTCGGAGCTGCTCGATGTTGGAGGTCTTCCAGATCGAGAGTACTGGTCTCCAGGTAGCTATCCATGGGTGACTCCATACTAGAAGTTTCGCAGCTGTTTGGAGGTGACATGAATTCCAAAGGTCTTCTCCAGTCAGGCTGCGACTGGAGATGACTTCATATTTTGGTGTACATGAAGGTGATGGGCGAGAGCCAGCTCCTGCTTATCGAGGAACATCTTGGGTATCTTCCGCCCTGGTACTCGTATCCACGTCCTCTGTCTGGGCTGCGAAAACTTTGCTGATATGTGACTCGGTCGAAGTGACTTTTTTTTGCCCCCCCCCCTGTAGTAGATGCTTCCATCTAACAATGAGCAGTTGGGCGTGTAAGGCAGTATGAGTGTGTCACCCCGTCAAGCCGTTCTCTGCCTTCTTGTTGAAGCGCGCATGCGACAAAAAGTGGTAGAAAACGAGTAATACGAACGATATGATACAGTCATATCATTTGCTCGCTTCAACAACTGGTGGAGAACGGGTTTGGCACCGCGCCAAACTCATCCCGCCTGACACGCCCAACCGTCCGCAGCGAATCACACTATACATATTACTCTCGTATGAGCAAAATTAGTAATGATACGGACAGGTAGCAAGCTACCAAAGACTCACATGTATTCACTCTTCGGCAATTCAGCAAGAGCATAGGTAATCTGTCGGTTGTTCATGCTTCATATTCCTTATTCATTCGAAGAAGATTCATTGAGGAGACTTTATTTGGAAACCAGTCTAATGTTTCTCATCGACTGCGTGCTTACTGGAGACAAATCATTCTTAGATGGTCTTGTAGACACAGACGACTTTTACAAGGTTCCCTTCGAAGAAGCTGTTGCATCCATACTTGGTGTGTGCAGGAAGGTTAACGTGATTCACGCTATTAAATCATAGAGATATAGTGATGGGGCATTGATGACGGGTGACAGGTAATCTTATCAATCGATAAAAACAGATAAGATACCATCTGCGCTACATTTTTATCACTTCTTACCACTTTAATGCCGAGTATTAGAGGCTCAGGTGTGAACTCTTTCCTTTGATGGCAACAGAATCAGGGTCGTCCATTGAAGCATTTGCTATTAGGTGCATGCAATGGTGTGGTGTCTAACGGGGGGGGGGGGGGTCTATAGTGCGGCTGAAACGGGAACATGAGAAATTCAGCGTCGGTGGTAACATTCCAGCTGTCCGTGCGACGTACTCTTTGACATGTACAAGCAATGTGAAGTTCTCCTTTTCGCTGCCACCCATGCCGAACCAATTATACCTTAACCCATTACGATGTCGCAACCGGAGTCCTTGATGATAACGGTTCAGCCTTCTCACTGTTTAAAATGTGTAGTAAGCAAGAGGGATCAGATGTTGGTAGATAATGACTGATGTTGAGCTTTTTTCGACTCATTTCCCGACATTTTAATGAAAAAGCTGCCACTGTTTGGCACTTTTAGCGCATTCTACCTCGCTCAAGGGAAGAGTGCCTGGCCAAGCCAGGTCGGCCCGGCGAAGCCGTGCCGTAGCAGAAGGAGGAGCACCCGGCGCCAGCCGGGTGATCCGACTGGTTAAATAATGTGTGTTGTAACTCCTCAAGCCACCTCGCACGATGGCTGACGCACCATCCATTTGCTGATAAATCCATACATTTCGCACAGACATTTCATTGAACAGTTCGGTTTCGTTATCATGATTTCTGCCTTTTGTTTTCTTGAGCCAATGAGAGTTATTTTCTAAATTAACGGTATCGAAGGACCTGCAACAAGAAGTTGACGTGTGTTGTAACAAACGACGCAATATTATGTCTCGATACGATTCGTTACAAACTCATGACATCGGGACAAAACTGAACTGTATGCTTTTCTTTTCCTCTATTTAGTTTGTACCAAGGAGTATTGACCGGGAATTCAATTTTACATAAAAGTGCCATTTAGGCCCTCTAGTGATTCTGTGACCCCAGTTTCCCAGTCTCTGTAAAGCGAAACGAGCGGCTGTTTGCACTCTATAGCTCCCAATAGGGCTGCGTTTATACTTTGCGGCAGCGTAGCGTAGCGGCGGCAGTGTCGGGGAAAGGTAGAGATATCGATCTAGCGCTACCAGCGTCACCAGCGTACGCTAGCGTGCCGCTAGCGCAGCTGGCGTAGGGCACGGGAAGCATAGCTATCGATCTAGCTTCACCAGCGTTTCTCCAGCGTTTTCCCAGCGCTTGCAGCGACGGGGCTAGAGAGTATTGAAAGTAGGAGAGTACAAAATACTCTCCTCCCTTCAATACTCTCTAGCCCCTCTCTAGCCCCGTCGCTGCAAGCGCTGGGAAAACGCTGGAGAAACGCTGGTGAAGCTAGATCGATAGCTATGCTTCCCGTGCCCTCGCTACGCCAGCGTGCCGCTGGCGAACGCTAGATCGATATCTATCCTTTCCCCGACACTGCCGCTGGCGTACGCTGGAAGCGCTACGCTACGCTGCCGCAAAGTATAAACGCAGCCTAAGGAATGTTGGGGCACTTTGGCTTGGGGGGGGGGCAATAGATGACGCTATCATGCGATTTGTCAAAGTCGCGGCCCGCGTTAGGAAGCGTAGTAAGAGGTGTTGAAACACGAAAGAGAAGGAACCACGGGACTCACAAGGAGAGGATGCAAAAGAGAACGTCGGAAGCACCCCTTATTGGCCCTCAAAATGAAAAAAAAACCAGATAGGCAGTCATTCAGAGATGGGACCACCGTCAAACACTAGGACCCCGAAAGCGACCGAGCTCCCATTTTATGGCGATTATCCGCAGCGTGTTTTTTTTTCACTGTATAGAAATGACCGCTGAAAAGAGAGCCGCACTGTCACATCATTGTGTCGTAGCGTCATTTTCCACATTTCTATATGTCATCGTAGGCCATCCGAGAGCCCGAATTCGGGTATATGGTAGCGCACTTTTTCTCTCGACGAAACCCGTTCAAAGTAAACTCATCGATGTAAGACACGAAAGAGTTGGACTCCTATTCGCCTTGTATGGTAAAGTCCTGAACAGGCTCGACTCACGTTCACGGACCACCCCGTTTTGAGTGTATTTCGCAGAAAGCACCAGTGGAGCGGGCTACTCCGACATCAACACCAACCCATGTTTTGAAAAGATTCCACAGAAAAATTTTTCCCGCTCAATGATTCTAGCGCCTGGCTCGTCAGTTCAAAGATTTTAACTTCTGGCTCGTTGAAAACAGATGAGGTATGTAACTATACCACAAGTCATTATGGATTGAGGACGCTTGGATTTTTTTTCAAGGCTCTACCTTACAGTAGCAAACGTTTCTTGTAAAATCCATTCGCTTTGTAAGTTCATGTCTAGTTCCAGAGTTGTTGCTGGCAAGTAGGGTCTCATTTCGGTCCAACTAACTCACTTTTTATTAGTCCACTTGACTGGTCAAGCTATTTATGTATTTAATGCATCTACAGATTCGCAAATGAAGGGTGCCCCGAAATTTTGAGAACGCTAGTTTGTAGACTCGAAACATACACGGACTGAGGTTATTGCTCGCTGATATTTCCAGGGTATCCACCTCCTCCGTAACTTCGGTAAGAGAAAAAGTTTACGACACCTCCGCTTACAGCAGGCGTGTGTTCCTTTCTTCCGCCCCACCCTCAACCTCTATGCGAACTCTTGCAGTCATGCCACCGATGGGGTGGCTGTGATTTTAGGAGCCCTTAAATTCATACGCCGCTCAGCTGCTGCAATAACCATCTTTCACTCACCATCAATGCTCCCTTCGCAACTGTATTTCAGTTGCTGACAACAAGACCCCGCTGTTTGCATACTTGCCCGTAAACTCGAAAATCTAAAAGCACCCAGCAACTACCTAGTGTAAAATA